CTGGCTAGACCTCCCAGACCTTATATACCTCCCAAAATCGATGACCCGGACCGTCATACGGGTGTCGAAGATCTACCAAGACGGAGATCCCTCAACCATCAACCGCCGATGCAGTAGAACTTAGAGCATTAGGACTACAGCCACGACCACACCTTTAACTAACTCGACTTTACATTTTGCCTCGAACTTCACACCTGGGTTTGAGTCTCCTTGTTTGCCTGCGCCGCGCCTACCCATCAACTTGTCGTAAAACCCCGCGACACTCAGCGCCAGGTAACTACAGAGGTGCGAGAGCCTCGAGCAGAGCTCGGCGTTGTTTTTCGTCTTGGATTCCATCAACGAATTGTTTCACAAGGAGTGGTACTTCGCCGTACATCACAAGGAATTGCTCCTAGCTGGATTCGATGGCTTCAAGGCATTTCCACTGTACTAGGAGCTCCCATCGGTTAGTCCCGGGGTCGAGTCGGGCAGCTTGAATTGCGCCGACGGTCAGCACAACGCTCTGGTTGCTGACGTGTGATCGAGGATTTCCTCCGTGAGGTCGAGGTACTGGTCTGAGTAAAATTTCAGCCTTGAGTGATGTGCTTCCCGCTCGTTTCCGTTGATGACGTGTTCAATCACGCATGAGTACGGCAGGCATTCCTTGACTCGGAAGGGTCCAATCCACGTGACGGATAGCTTCGGGTAATGCGAGTTTTCATCAACCCTTGACCACAGCACGTAGTCGCCTTCCATAACCTTGAACGCTTTCGAGTTGGTCTTGTTGAGGACCTGCCGGTTCTGTGCCGCGCGCTTGTGGTCGAGGATCTTTTAGTGAATCTCTCCGAGGCTGCGTCGTAGGGCACTCATCGCGGTTCTGATGTTGGGTCGATCCCAGTTGACTTCGGTCAATCCATCCACGATCAACTTCCTGTTGACGCTTCCGGCGATGACGTTGAGGGGTGTAATCGGATCTAATCCAGTGTAAGCAAACATTGGAGACGTACCACCCAGAGATTCTGCTGGCGTCTGGTTCAAGTTCGCATGACTCGCATGACTGCCATTATATCGCGATTCACTCGCTCAACTGTTCCGTTTCTCCACGGACAGTAGGCCATGACAATGTTATGCTGGACTTTGAGGCGGTGTGCTAGCGCCTTCATGATATTGTTCTTGAAGTGGCTGCCGCCGTCGGAGATCCACACTTCTGGTACTCCGAACATGGCCGACCAGTCCATAATTGCGTCCGCCGCAACTTGACTTGTCGGACTGTCGCAGGCAATGAGCCGTACGAAGTGCGTAAGGTCGTATTTCAAGACCAACACATACTTGGAACCTTTCCAGGTTTCACCCATAAATAGGTAGTCGAAGTGCAGTCCTTGGTTGCGCCGCGTTGCTGACCACGTATTCCTATGAGGCCTTTGGATGATCTTCCCACCCCGAATATGCGGGCACAACAGGCACGACCGGAGGAATGCTGCGAGTTTCTCATCGAGATGCGAGATGGTAAACAGTTGTCGGATATGACTGGCCATGGCATGATGTCCGCGATGACCCATCGATCCACAGTGGGCTATGATGAACAGCCTTGTGAGCAGGTCGTGGGCATCGTCGGGTATCCAGATGCGTTCACGCAGGTAGAGGACGCCGTTGTCTTGCATGATAGCGGTTGGTGGTGCCGCCACTGCCTTCTGGGCTTGAATGATGGACTCCAGGTCAGGCCAAATAAAATCCGTGTCGTCCAGCGGGCGGATCTTTGCCTGCGGCGGCTTGTATACCATTCTTGGCTTGTGGCGCTTCTTGCGCTTCATCCATTTTTTAACTGTCGTACGTGGTTTCGACGCTTCTGGCGTGTCCATACGACGCTGGCAATGATCGGGGGCATCGCAGAATGTAGGCGGAGCACGTGTGCCTTCAGTGGCGCGGGTTGTCCCCAGCGGCTGAGTAGATCGGCCCACAGATTGTACACGCCGTCGATGTGGTCGATCACGTAGCGGTATTGGCCGATGAGGTCGGCCCAACGCAGTAGCTTCTCCCGTGTGTGCGCCTTGATTTCCTTGTCGGGGGCAAACACGTGAATGAGGTTCTTGTGGTCGCAGTACATGCGGAATCCCAAGGGCCTCAGCAGCAGGTATTTCAACACGTCGCATGCACAAGCGATGGTATAGCCTTCCTTTTCGATGACGCTCCAGTTCCTCTGGGTATTGTCGAACATACCTGACTGGTACACTAGCATTTCGTGCTGTTGCTCGTGGATGGGCTTCGCTTCGTCGAACGCTTGGACTTGTGTCACCATGATGATCCACCCTTCCTGGGACACGTCCGTAAACAGACACATGATCGCGCGTTCGTCCGGGTGGCGCAGTTGCACTGCGGCCACAATAAGTTCCTTGACTTTGTCCCAGCTTGCACGTTCATCGTGGCTGAGTTCGATTTCAATCGATGCAGCGGTACGCTTCTTGAGTCGCTTGCCAGCTAATGCCTCGGTGAGCTTCTTCATAACGGGTCCACAGCTTGGGCAAAGCCGATGAGGGAATCACGGATCCAGTTGACTGCGCAGATGAACTGTTGCAGGTGGCCAGCCGTTGTGGGGTACGGGATCTTGCAGAGTGACGACAGCTGCTCGGGTCTTGTCGTACACCGTGTCCGTCTATGATCCGGCCACACCATTTGATTTTCTTGCAGAGGAGGGTGCTCTTCCGAGGGTTCGGCCGTAGTCGGTATCGTACACAGATGGCAAAGAGTTCTTCCAGAACTGCCAAGTACTCTTCCAGAGTGTTGGCCCAGACGAGAATGTCGTCGATCCACACGAGACAGTTCTTGTAGAGTAGGGTCTTTAAGCACTCGGTCATGGTGCTTTGGAAAAACAGGGCACCATCGCAGAAGCCTTGCATGACGCGGGTCGGCGTCATCACGCGGAAAGCCAGCATGAAGGAAAGGACCTCGCGGGAAGCGGGTCCAAGCGGCAACTGCCAGAAGCCCTTGGTAAGGTCGAACACCCCTAGGAATTGGGCGCCCCTGACGGATTCCAACACCATGAACTGGAAGGGCATGTCACCGGCCATTGGAATGGTCATGCTGTTCACCACGCCGCAATCGATGGTGAGGCGGTAGTGTAGGAGCAGTTCTTCTGTCGTCCATTCACCGCTTGTCTTGAGCAGCTTCTTGCCGCTTGGTTTCATCACCGGGTTGACTGGACTACAGTATGCACTCGAAGAGTTCGAATAGATAATACCATCTTCTTCAAGCTGGTTTCCAAATGCATCCAGGAACTTCGTCTCTAAAGGACTACTCTTGCGGGCCTTGCATCGGTGCGGCTGGGCATCGGCCTTGAGCTTGATGTCCATCGCTGGTACGTTCGCTGCTTCATCCGTTCCACGGAATTGTGCGCGCCAAACACCCTTGGCTGAGGCTTGCATGACGATGTCCTTAAGCTTGTGGGTCTTAACGTGCTTGCCTGCGTCTGTTATCTTAAACGTTTCAAACGCTTTCTCCAACAGTGACACTGCGGCATCTTCATCGAGTTTGTCGAGACCTTGTTCACCACCTTGCAAAAGACGAGTCGCCACCCCGAAGGCAATGTCTTCGTCTTCGTCGGGTTCACCCACGTCATCATCATCACCGTCTTCATGACTTTGGTGTTGAGCCACTTGTTCCAACAAGTGGTTCATGTCGATCCCGATGGACTGCAACGCATAGCGCGAGATGAGCAATGAGTCGCTGCGGCTGATTACGTAACATAGTTGCACACCTGGTAGGTTAACAGGTCCAGCTGCAGTGCTCAGACGGATGCGCAGGTTTGCCGTCACGTCTGCATATACCGGCTGTTCGTCCATGGCGTAACCTTTCCAGGTCTTCGCCAGTTGAACCACGTCAACTTCTGTCTTCGTCTTCAATGCTTCCAGCATTTATTCTGAAATGATGTTCGCATCACTTCCAGGGTCGGCACAAAACGGTACTTCCAGTACGCCGTTGAGGGTTGCCATGTTCACGGCATCGTCGGGCATGTAGATGCGGTAGAACTTCTTGCCCATCTTCTTTCGCATCTGCGCCGTCTTCTTCGTGTACTTCTGGAATTTAGGGTTGCGCAGGTAGCCACACATTCGCCAACCCCACATCCACTTGATTCGGTCGATGCCGTCTTGGTCGATGTCGGGTCAGTCCTTGAAATGATACAGGCGCTCAAGGTCACCGCAAAACAGGCACTGCACCGGGTGTGCGATTCGACCGTCCAGGATGGGTAGCTCGGTCATCCAGTGGTAGTACTGGTTGATTCCAAACTCGGTTCGGATTCCATCGCACCATACGTTGTTGGTAAAGCGGTTGGCCAGGCTTGATCTCCATTCGCCGCCGTAGTCCACTGATACCCCGGCTTCGTCTATTGCTTCGTCTTCCTGACGATCTGATTTTGCTGTTCGTTTTTGTAACGCAGCAGAATAGGCAGAGTTGTTCGATTGACGATCTTTAGTGGGTTTCTTTCCCGGGTTTCCATGTCCTTTGGGGTTTCCCCAACCGCCAAAACGAGTCTGTCTGGGCACGCTCACGCGGTTTGTACTCGTGTTTCGTTTCGTACCCGAATCTTGATATCCCGCGTTGCGATCGATTGCTTGCGCCGGAGGGGTTCCAAACTTCGTGTCTTGGTCGTTTCTGGGCCAACCAAACTTGCCATCTTGGGAACTACCTCTGTGACGGGAGTAATCGCTTCCACGGTACGCGCTTTGATTGCGCTCGCTTGTGCGTCCACGACTTCCATGTCATTCACGCCCGCTGTGGTAACCTTCCTGGCTTCGTCCACGGCTTCGGTCGTACCCACGACTCTCCTCACGTCCACGACTGTACTCACGCCCGTGGCTGCGATCGCGTCCACCACCCTCGGCTTCGGTCGCGTGCACGGCGTTGCTGACTTCCGTCATCTCGACTAGACTTCTTGTCTTCGCCACGATTTTGATAATCATGGCCGTGCTTGCTCTTCTTGTGCTTCGGGCTCTTGGTCCCACTTCGCTTTCCAGCGCCAGCACCCCAACGCATCCAATACGTTTGATGTTCCACGGATATATCCACCACGATTTGGATCAGGTCACCCCACTCAAAGTCGACTGGGTGCAAGGCGTCCTTGGTGTACTCGCTCACCTTGCCAGGCAGCTGGTTCAATAATGACGTGTACATACGCTTTCGGATGTCGGGTGTACGGAGAAACTCGCCGGCTCCACGCACGTCGATTCACTCCCAACACGCCGTCATGTAGTCCGCTGCACGCATGGTAGCATCTTCTTCACGCATGTTGAACTCGATATCATCGAATAGACTTTCCAAGTCAGGGTCGACGTCGTTCATTGGCTTCTTGGCGATGTCTTGAAGCTTGTCCTTGAGGATTTACTCCAACATGTCTTCGGGTTCTCCGCGGATCTTCCAGATCGACATCATGCTACGCAGCAATTGCTTGTCCGAGAAGCACGCCACGTAGCTTGTCACATGTTCACGGAACTGGATGTTCTTCCTACGGCACTCATCTTCAAGTCGCGCTTCGTACGCCTTGCGTTTGATCAGCCAACGGTAAACTTCGGTTTGGGCAATCGACTGGAGTTAGGACACACTGGTAGGTCCATGCAACGATTGTTCGCGGTCGTTTCTCGACCTTGGCTGCGGCCACGGTCACGACTTCTGTCGCGTTCACGGATTCTGCCTCGCTCACGGCTTCTGCCGCTGTCGCCTCCATAACGGCTCCAGCCGTAACGTTCGCTTCCACCATGTCGCTCCATGGTTCTTGTTGTTCATCAATTGCGTCTTCCAGACACGTTTCTACAGCAAAGGACGGTAGCACTAAAGTATGTGGCGTATCCACGAAATCAAAACACAATGTTGGGGGAGCGGCAACTCCCAGGAACACTTGGCGCCGTGTATTGATCTAGAGGAAGCAAATTCTGAACTGACTAGTATTCCCCTGATCAACGGGGAGCCTAGCCCTAACTAAACTAACCAATGAAAACTAACTGGACTGCCTGACACGCACTATACATGGAATGTCCGTCACCTGTCGCCCTTTGATCGCACCAGCCTGACCCAAGCTTCCCGAGCCGTTGCCGCCGCCCACGGTGTCACCCCTAAGGATGTCCTGTGGTGAGTGTTTGCGACTCGGGACCCTGGGTGGTCCGTCAAGGTACGCAACACATAAGTATAACCGGTAAAACAACGTCATCATTGACTGTGCACGAGCTGTCCACATTGACACTGTGAACAACTTGTTTGCCAACCGCAATCCTATTGTTGCTTCCATGTTCCAGCTTCTGTTGTGCTGCTGTTTTAATGGATGTTTCCGAATTGGGGAAGTCCTGGCATTGAAGTGGCATAATGTCACCTTGGGCCAGGATGAATTCCGTGGATACGTGGCGATGAGGCTGCGATGCCTCAAGAAAGCAAGTGTGGAGGAGTTCCATGTATTAGTAAACCACTTGGTCGACGCAGCGTCTTACCCATGTCTCTGAATTTGCACGCTGTATGATGGCTACCTCAACAAAGTCCGCTAGACGCACGTCAACGCATCTCAAGAGGTGTGCGTGTTTACATCTGCGTCCAACCAGCATGGAAGTGTTCGTGTGGACTGGTTCAAGCCTCTGGATCAAAACTATGTCCGATAACTTCTCTAAGACTTAGTTCAGGCGTCACCAAACCTCCCGATTGGAATATCGTTGCACAGCATGCGGAGAGGCGGCTTCTTTTACAGAGTGTTTGAGTCTACTGTTTTACTGCGTGCCCCAAGAGCGGTTTGTTTTGCGTGATCATCAAGGACTTTACAAACGCATGATAAAGTGCTATCGGCGAAAGTACACTGCACTTGGAATGGCAGATTTTGGGTGTTGTCTTCTCCAAGTACCATAGTTTCGATCTATTTGAAGCTGCGTTTGTTGGTCATACAGGTATTGTGCTTTTCACAACTTATGGCTATTCTGGGACTCAAACCCCTCTTTTAAACATGCACCCACGTAGTATTTATTAGGTTGAGTCCAGCTTCGTATTAGTAAAACGAAGCACCAAACGTACCACTCTTTTCAGTAATTCCATGCTCTAATTAGAGGTGATTTTATGGATCGTATGGGTTTGCTTCAGTTTGATTGGACGCCAAAGGAATTTGTGGCCGGTTTCCGAGCAAGGTTTGCTTAACAGGGGTGTTTGGCGATTAATTTTCGGCAAACGCAGTGTTTTATTGCAGTGCAAAGATAGGCCATGCGATGGAGGCGCGCTATCATTGCCCAAGTGTCTCTAACGTAGATGACGCAACGCGAAGTTAGTTAACGTTGGGGCATCCACGGTAGTGCCGGAAAGAAGATGATACCGCACCGTGATGGAACTACGGAAGTGTAGGGAGTTGATAACGCAGAGGAAATTGTAAAACTGAT